AGGCATTTGGTTAATTTATACTCTTACAGTTATACATATAAACATATACATATACGAGTATGTATGTGCAAATTGTTTAGAACCAAACACACTAATACGCAACAACATGTGCTTGATTTCTTTATTCTATTCAAGCAAGCGTGACTGGCAAAGTTTGAACTTGGCTCGTTGGCTTAATTTGAACTATATGTGTATGTGTACATATGTACGAACATATTAGAAACATATATATATGTAAATAAGTTACTCAGCACACATACATATATTCATATATGTGTACGTGTACTTCAGCTTATAAGCAAAAGTAAGTGAAGTCTATATCTCCATATACTTAAATTTTGCTTTCAATGTTTACCATTTTTTCACTGTTTCTCTCTTTTCTGCGTTTTCTGTCTTCTCCAAGCTCACTTTTCCGGTTCTCTTTAAGTTCTTTTGTTGATTTCTTCTCTATGTGTTTTGCCGTATTTCTCTGCTTTGGCTTATATAATGTAGTGATTATACCACTTGCACTCACACATAGTCGTGGTCGAGTATATATGTGCGCATGTGTGTATTTACAAGAACTGTTTAAAACGTGCCTGACTTAACGAGCGGTGAGTTGCGACAATTGTTGCTTTTATTTCATTTGAAAATGTGCTTTTGTGCTAATAGTCTATAGTCTGTAAGAATAAAGGGAAATTGCCTGAGAGCGCACCATTGCGTATGAGTAATGGAAAATTTGTTTGCAGTGGCCACTATGGACTCAATCTATGTTATCTATTGGTGATTTAGAAAATACAATTCCAATATATTTGACTTTTTACTTAAATACATTTCACTATTTATTACTTTTAATTTTTTAAAAAGTTCCAACAGAGATTACATAGCTGATGTAGGCGCAGTGGTAGAGCACTCGCCTGTTAAGACAGGCTGGTCCGACGGTTCGATTCCTGCCATAAGAGGTCTGATGAGGAGATGTGGTAGTCTCCGAAGTGACAGCTGTACTTTTACCATTTTTCTTTGTTTTATAACAAAAATATTGAATTCATACAAACCAGGCCTTTCGCTCACTAAAAATTATAACACAAATTAATATCATGGCCGCGAAAACAATTAAAAAAAATGATGTTGCCTCATTGCATTTCCATAAAAAATGTTAAAAATTAATAAATAGTTTGTTTTAATATTTTGGAACCAAACGTATTCCATAAAATTTTGCCATATATTACGATGGAAAACATAGCTTATACCACATAACACAACCTTCAACCACAGCTAAATTTCACATAATTCGTTGACAGTTATGGAATAAAAATAAAAATAATAATTTTTTTTTCCATCGACATAAGAAATAATTAAAAGCGCTTATACGCAGGTGAAAAGCCAAATTCATTCTCTCTCTAATAAATATTCATTTTTTTTTCTTTATTTTTTCTTTAAATACTTTTATTTTTATTACTACCAGCCATTAGTTCATAGTATAACTTATTGATATTGTTATTTTGCACATACCGTCTCTATCTCTCCCTCTCTCTCTCTCACTCATACATACGTACATACATACATACATACGTATATACCATTGATGTATTTATCTTAGCACCGGCTTCAACATTTCTTGATGATTTACAATTGTTGCTGCGTATTTTATTTAATTGGCAGTCCTTGAACTTGACTTAAAGTGCGCGTGCACGCACACTTATACACACACACGCAAATTAAATATGTATATACGCACACTTGTATTGGGTATAACAATTACGTATTCTTGTATTTATTGTAATGTATTTGCATGTCTATTTTGTATTTCGGGAATTCAATTTAGTGTTCCATACATATTCATACCTGCATACATACGTTTGCACATATATACATGTGTATTTATGAAATATTCATTAAGTCAGTCAGTCAAACCGGCAAGTAAGAGCAACCACTATGCATAACTTTATCAAAGAATATACAAATTTATATGCAATATTTACGGAAATTATATACATACATATGCAGGGTGGTCCTGTATTTAGTAGGAGAGTTTTTATTATTATATTACCATATTAAAAAATGCATACATATTCACATGTAAGGCTCAAAATAAGAACAAATTTATTTACTCTGTACATATGTGCGAGGTGTGTTAAAAAAATATTGCGAATTTTGTATTTTGTCAAAAATTATTTATTTATTCATGAATATCTATTTTGTTCCCTTCAAAGTAATCCCCATGAGATATTATACACTCGTGCCAACAGTTTTTCCAATCTTCGAAGCACTTCAAAAAATCAATTTTTTTTATCTTGTTCAGCTCCTCCTTCGATGCCGTCTTTATCTCGTCAATCGTAGCGTTACGTCGTCCTTTTAAGGTCCTTTTCAGTTTACGGAAAAAGAAAAAGTCACAGGAGGCCAGATCTGGGGAATACGGTGGCTGCGGCATCATTAGTGCTTTGTTTTTGGCCAAAAAGTCGGGCACAAGCAAGGATGTGCGAGCAGGGGCATTATTGTGGTGCAAAAGCCAGTTTTGTTCTTCCACAAATCCGGGCGTTTCTGGCATAACTTGCAGGTAATATTCCTTATTGGCCGTTCTACCCTGTGGCAAGAACTCATGATGCACCACCCCCCTGCAATTAATTTTTTCGTCTGTTGTTGACGTGCTCGGGCGTCCGGCACGCTCTTCGTCGTTCATATCTTCTCGGCCTTCTGAGAACATTTTGTACCACCGATAAACGTTGCTTCGGTCCAAGGTAACTTCTCCGTATGCCACAGTCAACATTCAGAATACATGCGCGCACTTAATTTCGTTTTTCACACAAATATTGATACAGGTTCTTTGATCCATTTTTTTGAATAGGTGAAAATCGAAGACCATCCACGTGCATGTAAAGCAGCTGTCAACAATTAAGTGCACATTCAAAATGGCCGAGCTTGTCGGCATAAGTGACAGACATGAGTACCAATATAACGAAATTCGGTTATACGTAACCTGCGAAAATTCAAAATTCGTGGTACTTTTTGAGCACACCTCGTATATCGAATGAGAAATATGTAATTAAGTTGTTTTGTGATTTCTCATTGGAGCATTTCTTCTTTTTGAATCATTTAGAGTTCAGAAATTAAAAAAACCAACAAAAAAATTCCATGATATTTAAAATATTAATATTAAATATATAAAACTTCTTGGATCCAAAATAATTTAGTCAATAAATTAGAAACGAAAAAAATATTATGTGTCCATACGGATTCAGCGTGGAAGAAAATTAGATTAGAAATAATTCGAAAAAAGTAATTTCAATTCAAAAAAAATATTATTGAGTATTAACGAATTAAAATGTAAAAAGTCTAAGATTTCTATATATGTGATAGCGTTGAAAGTCTCTAAGTGTAACTTTTACTTAAAACTTCAGACTTAAAAATTTAAATTTAATTATTAAAAATATTAAAAAATTTCATGTACAACCTAATAAAATAGTAAATTTCAAAAATTTCTTATTTAACATTTTAATGAAAAAAATTCAAATATTTTTAAAATGAACATGGCCATTCTGCTCAATAATACTTGAAAGTTAGGTTTTTTTAGTAACAGAAATATTTATTCATAAATATAATGGTAACCATATTTCCTTATACTTTTAATTTGATCTTCAGCACTTTAGTTAAAATCTGGAGGCAAACTCGCTTTAAATTAATGAAAGTCAAAAATATTATTTTTTCCGTGTATTCATTTGAAGTTTTATTTTTCAACACTGTATTAATTGAAAACATATTACAATACATTGCGCTAATTAAATTAAAAAACAAATGAAAATGAAAACAAAACTTTTAATAATTAATGCTCTAAACTTATGAAAATAATTATGCAATTATTTTCAATGGAAAATTTGATTTTTAGCCGAAATTGCTTGGCAACACTGCCAAAAATAATAGTGAAAATTGTAAAGTTATCTTTGACTTGTTTTCGAAAATTTTTAGTTTTGTAAAATTTTTTTAGCTTCAGCAAAACGAAAATTAATAAAAAAATTTATTTTAAATTTTTTTTTTTGTATTTTACTTTCGTTAATTTTTGCCTATTTATTTATTTCATGCCTTGTCGTTAAGGTGTAAAGTGATTGCAAATTAGAAAGTACCAAATGATAATAGTAAACCGGCATGAATTGTAGTTATTCGTCTCTAGCGTGAACACCTTTTGTACAAGGTTTTTATTTTCATTTATTTATTCATTTTTATATTTTTTTTTTGTATTCATTTTTCATTTTACGAGTGTCTACTTGCCAGTTTTGTTGTTGTGCGTGCGGGCTTTTTGAGCAATTCGATACTCGTATCGCATTATTTCTCTTACGCATACGCGTAGTACACATTGCATACATACGAGTTCAAGTGATCATCACTTCAATTGCTTATACCCTACAGCGCACATCTGCACACACACACACACACACACACAGGCACTGACAGGCACATATGCACACCCAACCGAACATCCAAGCAACCAACGAAGCAATCAATTGGCCAACTCACTTTTCTTATTCGACACTTTCTATTGCTGCGGTGGCAATGTGTAACGAGTATTTATGTATATATGCATGTATGCATGTATGCATGTATGCGCCCGTGTGAGAGTTTGGAACGAGACAGATAAATTTTACATATAACAATGCAACATTTGTGCCGAAAAAAGTGAAAACGCTTGATTGGGTGTTTCCTAACGGTTGACACGTGTGCCGCGGCTGTCAATAAAACGAGCAGAGCGATCTTTCATTCAAAACTCAGTCATGTTATCAACATAAAATATATGTACGTACGTATATGTACATATATGTGTAGAAATTCAAGCGCAATACAAATTGAATGCACGAAATCAATAAAAGCTAAGAACTCAAAGACATCACGAATGAGCCAAAATTACTATTCCATCAAAGCAACTTATGTGCGAGTATCTACTGTGTCTAATTTTTTATTTATTAAAATACTTCGCTTAATAAAAATTTATCAAGAATTAAAATAAACTATACTTTCTTGTTTCGTTGCAGATTAAAAAGTTTTGGAACATATTTTAAGCTTTGTGAAAAGTAAGTTCTTGATTTACATATTTCAATTTTTTAATTCTCTTTCCATTTACACAAGGTAATATGATTATTCTTCTCTCGTAGTAACCCTTTCCCCGATTGATAAAAGATTGAAAAAATTTATTTTCACAGGCTTTTTTGAGGCCAATTCTTCACTAGCCCAAGCATGCGCCATTCGTGCTTCTGGCGAGTCACTATGGATGTATGTGTTCTGGCGTTGTTCAGATAAAACGCATTTCCTCTCTTGTTGCCCAAAGGTGGGCGCGTCTGGGCGATCGCTTCCTTCAGTTGGTTCAATTACTGACAGTATCGGTCCGAATTACGAATTTGGCCGTTCGATAGCGGCTCATAGTGGATGATTCTTTGCCAAACCCACCAAACACCAAAAAAAAATCTTCAGCACCATCAATACTGGTTTCGAGAGCGTTTGTGACGGCCCACTACTGTTAGTGATCGACTTTTAAGCTCCGCTCACTATTCGTTTCAGAAATGGGTCGATTTTGTTACGATTCAGTAGTGATTCGTAAATGAAAATTCAGTCCATGAGATTTTTTTCTTGTTAATTCATGTAGCGTCTATACATCGATCTCCGTTTTCAAGTGGTTCCAGTCTGTGGTTTGCTTGTGCAATGTGTAACTCTAGTTTTCGAATTGGAATGCCTGTTATAGTATCAGGATCACAAACACTATTCACATTTCCAGATGCCTTTCTTGCCATTAAGCCTTTATAGAATAAAAGTTATTGAAAACAGCGTATTTTCCCTTTGCTGCTGTCCATCTCTGACTCGCACTCAAACACTATTGTGTTGAGTGATGGCAACTTCGTTATCTTTTTTAGTACAAAATATCAGCTTTCTAACGTCATCTTGCATTACGCGTGCAAACGTCATATGCGCATTTATCTAGATATCTGAGCAAATGTGTTTGTCGAAATTTACTCAGTTGCTAACCCGTAGAGTCGACCGGCTGTGTGGGAGTTTCGTCTCGTGTTTGGAAAAATTTGTTTCATTTTGATTTCTATGCAAACGGTTTCCCCATCACATAGTGTCTGTGACGGTATGCATTGAGTATGTAGTGTATGTGTGTATGTATTTTGTCTAACCACGCATGTTTCATAAATAGCTACGCACACAAACTATTTCGTTATCAATTAAAAAAAAAAAAGAAATAAGAATTTCATTTCGATTACGTATCTAAAACAAAAGTACAATCTCAACGAGGCTAAAATAAAAATAACAACAAAAACAATACAACAACAATTTACTAGCAACAAGTGCGTGAAAATAAAAAATGGCACACACATACACGTATGTATCTATTAAAAGAAAGACAATAAAGAAGAATAGGAAATATACAAAACAAAAGTGGGGAAAAGAGAAGAAGAAGAAGAAAACATATATTTTAGTTAAAACACTTATATATGTAAACATATGTGGGACTCATTAATGGGTCAACGAACTTATTTGAACTACTTTTTTCACAGAGCTCTACATACATACATGCCAGCATTTAGTATATGTGTACATATCAAACATTTATGTGTTAGCAGTGATTTGATTTAGTCACTTTTGAGTTTTTATATAGCAATATTATGCATTATAAATTTATAGGCAGATAATGCGTAGGCTTTTCTGCTTATGCGTATATTTGTATATGTGTATGAGTAAGCAGCAGGTAAAGAGACTACTATTCACTTGTTTAATCGCTGACTTGGAGAAAATTAGTCTATCAATTCTCCACAAAATGTAGCAAAATATTATATACGAAAAACATTTCACATACATTCCTACTCACCTATGTGCGTGTTATAAATATTCAGGTTAAAGCTCTCAACCCTGTGCCCTGATAATTGTCGAAGTTCTTAAACTAAAAAACTTACTAAGATTTACTATAAATTTGTGAGATGAATGACTTTGTCATCATCTACTCATTACTCCATCATACCACCTCATCGTGTGTCAAGTGCTTTATTTAGTGCTTCACAGCTTTGAAACACGACGAAAAGATTTTTTCTACTTCAGTAACTTTCGAAACCTTCACCTGAGTTTTGGCACTTTTAGTCTACTCCAAGAACGACTGCTTTTTCTTCTTCTCAAACTGAATTTGGTTTCCATTTCATCATTTTCAACACATTTCCTTCAAACACTGCGCACGACTGAATAACTTGAGCTAGTAAATTGTTAAAGTTATAGATTTGATACTTAAAGCCCCGCCACACAGTACGTATATGTATAATATATGTGAAATTAAAGCGCTAATATACTGGCGGGTGAATCCCGTTTCTTTGCAAATATGCACACGCATATATATTTCGAGGTTTTGATCTTGCTTATTATTCGCCGTAGCGCGGATGCATAAAAATTCCTCTTTCCCAACAAAGCTAGGGTCTTCCCCAATACCTTATCAGTAGGGCTAAGTATGTATTTCCCCTCTGCGGTACATACTCGTATGGCTTTAAAACACCTTAAAAATCGGTGGGCCACATCTTCTTAGCACAGTTCAGTTTTTAAAATCATACCAACAACAGCAAGGAAAGCTCATTTTGATCGAGATAATATGGATTTCAAAGTCTTTCTACTGTTCTTCGCATTGTGCGTTAGTGTAGTATTGGCAGCAAAACCCACAATAGATCCGAAATTGAAATGGCACCGGCCAGTTGTTGTGCCCCCGCAATGGTATAAGCAAAATAATAAAGCAGAGGATAACTCCAGACGCACGTAATGAGTACGTCACGGATATTCAAGGAGAAGAACGAATAACGCTGCTGCGCATTCGATTACTAGAGAATAATAAAGGAATTTAGAATTTAAAATATTTATTAAATTTTCGATATTTGTTTTTAATTAATAATAAACGAAAAAATTAATTTATATCAGGTGTACAACTTTGCTTCAATTTTTCCAAAATTGAAAGCTTTATTGCGAAAAAGTGCTTACAGATATATTATTCAAAGTATTGTCCTTCGCTAGCGACAACTTTCTCCCATCTTTCCTGCAATTTTCGGAACCCGGCTCGAAAAAAGGAGTCCTCTTTTGACGCTATCCATGAAGCAATCCATTTTTCCAATTCTTCGAAGGATTGAAAATGTTGATCTTCCAGGCCGTGTGTCATCGAACGGAATAAGTGGAAGTCAGAAGGGGCGACATCTGGGGAATACGGCGAGTGGGGCAAGACTTCTCATTTGAGCGTTTCCAGGTACTTTTTGACCACTTTTGCGACGTGAGGCCGAGCATTGTCGTGGCTCTTGATATTGTGGCCGCTTTTCTTTTAGCGCGTGACTAAGGCGCATCAGTTGCGTTCGGTAGCAATCTCCTGTGATGGTTTATGTAATTCAACCAGCCTCAGCCGGTACAGCTACCTATCGGAAAACGGCGGAAGCAAAGTTGTACACCTCAATATCGTAAAAATAATAATTTGAGACCCAGAATTCTCTTCTACTTTGTAAGAATCTTATATATCTCTGTCACTTCCAAGGATTTGAGGAATATATTTACTATAGGTGACTTGTCTTGCGATAGTTTGGGTTCTGTAAAGATTCAATTTGCACTTTAGAGTCCTCCTCTTGCTGAATTTCAACTTGATTACAACACTGGAGCGCTAACTGAGCTACCACCAGTTCGTCATGCTTCCACTTCTCCAAGAATGACTTCATATTCTACGTACTTCAAACCGTTCAATCATCCCTGTAATAAAACTCAGAACCTTTATCTAATAAGAGCACTGTGCTAAAAACTCTAAAGCTTCGAGGCAAAGAAGAAGAGAGTCGGAATTCCTAAAATAACCCGGGAATAAAGTCTGAGCTTTCCTCTAACGAAATTGAGAAATTCAAAAAAGGCCAAATATATATTTATAAGTAAGGGAAAGCAGTCAGGGGCTTGATTTCTCACGGTTGGTTGATCACCGTCAACTGTCAGCTTGGTCTCTAGAACCCTCCCCACCCAAGTTAGCTTATCATACAATACCACAACGAAGAGTTTAGTGAATCTCATAACAAGGTCCCTCTTCCGCTTGTACTGAGCTAGTTTTTGTTCAACTTAATAAATTTTACTATTATTTTTTTCAGCAAATTTTTGCCTACCCAAATTAGTAAGATTTTCTTCGAAGTTCCAATAGAACTTTTTACTGCACAGACTTCAATCGTTAGGGGTGTAGGTTTAAAGCTGGTCGGTCCAAACGTTCTTCGGTAGCACGAAAAGCAGCTTTCTCTACGCCGCCATGTGGGAATTTGGTATCGCCGCGAAGCGTTCAGAATCGTAAAGGACCTCACAGTGCACAAATAAAACCCAAAACCTTCTTTGCTTTAATATTTATTTTAATATTTAAGTATTACACAAAGGAGATTGGCCGCCTTTTCTTTGCACCAATATTGGAAATTAGAATATATATTCAGTTACCAACTAAATGAACCAGATACATAGCCACCAAACGAGTTGTCATGTGAATGGAAATCGTGATGAGCCTGAGCAGCGGCGTCCACCTTGAAGCGGCCATCGTCACTGGTGTAAATATTCTGATTGACATGTGCGGAGGCGCCATCCTGATTTACATCAACTCCAGCACTGCCACCGTCGGGAGAACGCACTTGGCGATTCAATATTACGGTTTGTTGTCCTTCAACTTGTGGTACTTCCAGATCAGCTTGTAGCGGCAGGGCAGCGATTAATGCAATGCTAGCGCAGCTGATGAGCAGGAAAATACACTTTGCCATTTTTTGTTAATTTGTTCTCGATATATTCTATACTTGTTTAACGGTACTAGACGGACTGATGGTTTTTGCACTGACGCCCTGCGTTTTTATATGATCTCAATTCCAAGAGAAGTCAAGTTTGTGCAATGCATTCAGTTGGGATTCACAGCGTCTTTGAGATTGTTGAAGCAATTTTATCCAATGAATTCGGGAAGCACCAATTCAAACAAAAGATTCTTAATGGTTTTTAACTGTTATTCCATATGTTGATTCATTGATAACGCACTGTCTTATCAGCGGGAGTGTACCGTTATGGC